GTAAAGACAGGAAAAGAAGGAAAATCCAAAATCAATGTCAAGAGAGTCTGAGAAACATGCAGTGGAACATAGAGAGGCTACAATAAAGAGACAAAATGGGGAAGTAAGAGAAATTAGTAAAAAATGCCAAAGGACAGCTCAAGAAGACAAAGAACAGTATTATTACAAAAGACGCAAAGAGCTGAAATTAGAAAGCCAAGAGGGAGGAACATGGTTGACATTCTTCAACCTGAAATAATAGAGAAACAAATTTAGACCTTGAGTGGCAATACTGAAGAATTCTATGGGCAAAATTTTGAATAATGCCAGAGACATCATAAGAAGATGGGAGAAAAATACACTGAGTCACTGTACCAGAAAGAATTGATGGACACAGAACCATTTCAGAAAGTAGCATATGATCAAGAACTAATGGTAATAAAGGAAGGAGCTCAAGCTGCACTGAAGTCATTAGTGAAATATATGACTCGAGGAACTGATGGAATGCCAATTGAGATGTTTCTGCAATAGCCCTGGGTGTGCTCACTAGCTTTTGCTAAAAAATTTAGAATACAGCTACTTGGCATCTGACTGGAAGAAATCCATCATATTTGTTCTTATTACCAAAAAAAGATGCTCTAACCACATCCATAAATTATCAAACAATATTAATGATGTTGTATATAAACAAAATATTAAAGATTGAAAATATGAAGATCATTAAAAAATCTCTGGAACAAGTATATTGACAGGGAACCACCAGAAATACAAGCTTGACTCAGAAGAGACCAGGCATGAGAGATATCATTGTTGATGTGAGATGGATCTTGGCTGATAGCAGATCCTAAGAGATGTCTACTCTTGCTTTATTGATTATGCAAAGGCCTTTGACTGAGTAGATCATAACAAATTATAGCTAGCATTGAGAAGAATGGAAATCCCAGAACACTTAATTGTTCTCATGTGAAACCTGTACCTAGACTAGCAGTTGTCAGAACAGAACAAGAGAACACAGCATTATTTAAAATCAAGAAAGATGTGTGGCATGACTGGGTCCTTTCTCCATCCGTGTGTGTGTGTATGCTGAGAAAATAATATTAGAAGCTGGGCTATATAAGGAAGAATGTGGCATCAGGATTGGAAGCTCATCCATAATCCATGTTATGTAGATTATACAATCTTGCTGGCAGGAAGTGAAGAAGACTTGAAGCACTTACTGCAGAAGATCAAAGACTGCAACCTTCAATTTGCATTGCATCCTAACAATAAGAAAACAAAACTACACTGCTTGACCAATAAGCACCATCATGCTCAATGGAAAGAAGATCAAAGTTGTCAACAATTTCATTTTTCTTGAATCCACAGTTGATATTTATGATAGTTGTTGTTTGGCTTCGAGTCAAGCATAAACCATAGCAACTGTATAAACAAAAGGCTTGAAGCCCCTCTACAACTATCATCATTTATCAAAGTTTGTGATAGTAGCAGTCAAGAACTCAAAAGGAGTGTTGCATTGGGAAGATCTGTTGTCAAAAACCTCTCCAGAGTTCTACAAAACAATGTCAGTTTAAAGACTAAGGTGTACCTTCTCCAAGCCATAGATTTTCAGATGCTTCTTATGTATCTGAAAGTTGGACAATGTATAAAGATGAGAAGAGAAAAAACAATGTTTTTGAATTGTTTTGGAGGAGGGAACTGAAACATATGGAGCAAAAAAGTACATAGAGAAGAGTGCATGGCCTGCCAAAAGAACACAGAAGTCCGTTTTGGAGGAAGTCCAACCAGGGTGCTCCTCGGAGACAAGCACAGGGAAACATCTCAAATACTTTGGACATGTTGTCAGGAGGGAGTCAGTCCTGGGAAAACTCATCATGCTGAGAAAGATGCAGAGTCAGAGAAAGTGAGAAAGACTCTTAACAAGATACGTTGCTACAATGACTGTAACAGTGGACTCAAGCTTAACAGAGGGAGGATGGTGCAGGAGAGAGCAGAGTTCGGATCTGTTGTTTTTAGGATTAGTGTAAATTTTGGTTGACTCAATGACACCAGAATCCTAGTGGTATAAGATAGTGTCTCATTTTGTGTGTTTAATTGTATATTTCCCTTAGGTATTCTAACAAATTGTATGCACATCAGCCATTGGCGCTGCTTACATTTCCCACACGTGTTAGCTTTCTCAGTGTTTCTGTGTTGGTTTTTCGGTTTCCATTAAATCTAATGTCCTTGCTCTCTTTTACCTTTTCATCTTTGCTTTCGTAAATATAGACTATTTGGTCTCGTATAGATAGTTATTTAAAGGATGACAGTACTTAACTGTGATATAGTTTATTTTATGAGCCAGTCTATTATTTGGCTGAAAAATAACCCCAGGGAGTGGCTTCATTTCTAGATGTGATGGTCATTGTCTCAGGAGATCTCTATACACTACTGGGTCAGTAGGTCTAACTATTTTTTTTTTAATGAATTTAAGATATGTCCTCTGTTTTTCTCCTATTCCATTCAGGACATATATTGTGTCCCTGGTCACAGTAGTTGTTAGTGGTAACGGGGGACCATTTAGTTTTCTGGTCTCAAGATAAATGAAGTTGTGGTTTATCTTGGGCATTAGTTCTGTAGACTAGTTTCTCCTTTGAGTGAGTACAGACTAAGAATCAGATGACTGCCAGCAATGTTTTACAACTTCAGATGCTACTCATCAAACCCGGGTATAGAATAGTATCTTTATGAATGATATTATACTGATTGACTGAGTTATCTCCCAAGACTGTGAGCCTAAGCCTTCAAACTCAGTAATCAATCCTGTGAGATGTTAGCTAAGAAGTACAAATCACTGTGCCTCTATGTTCTTTTATTATGAGTTTGAATATATATACATGCTGTTGAGTACCATGGAGTTGGAACCAACCCATAGCTAATCCCCTGGCAGGTTTTCAGAGGCAATTAATTGCATGGGAGGAGATTGCCCATATTTCTCATGTGGAGCAGCTAGTAGATTTGACCCATGTGCCTTTGGGATTGCAGTGCAGCTCTTTACCACTAGGCCACCAAAGCTCCATTTAAATATATACATGTTGTTGTTGTTGATTGCCTTCCAGTCGAACACGACTCATAGCAGCCCTGTGAACAAAAGGCCTGAATCCCCTCTACAGCTATCGACATTTATCAAAGTTCATAGCGTTTCCGGAGGCATGTTATTTAGGAAGTGGATGCCACTCCTGCATAGTACAGTATATATTTGAATACACATATGCGTGAGTGCGTGCACACGTGAACACACACAGACACAGACACGTTGTTAGTTGCCATCAAGTCAACTGAAACTCATAGCTGCCCTCTCAACAGATTGAAACCTTGTCCTATCCTGCACCATCCTCATAATCTCTTAACACACTCAAACCCTTAGTTACAGTCATTGTGTCAGTCTGTCTTGTTAAGAGTCATCCTTTCTTTTACTGACCCTTTAATTTTCCTAGAATGATGACTTCTTTCCAAAGACTAGTCCCTCCTTATCAACAACATTCGCAAGGTGTATGAGACAGTTCCACCTCCTTGTCTCCACAGGGCACATGGTTACACTTCCTTCATGGCATGCTGGCTTGTTTGTCCATGGGTTCATCCATGGACATGGGATGTCCAGTCTCCTTCTCCAACACCACAATTCAAAGGCATTGATTCTTCCTCAGTCTTCTTTACTCACTGCCCAATTTTCACATAATACAAAGCAACTGAAAATACCATGACTTGTGTCAGGCATACTTTCATTTTTAAACTGACACTTTTACTGTTTTCTGCTTTAAAGAAGTTCCTGGCCGCAGATTGTCCCTGTTGCAGAATTATGTACGCTGTAACACTTACAAAGTGGTCTCTTAAGTTTGGTATTATCTTACTATTCAGACTTTATCCTTTCTTGGTGTTGCCTTTCCTGTTACCAAAAAGAACAGTGTCTGTTACCTAGAAAGTGATCCCTTCTCCCTGTTATCCTGTTCCTAATAACCGTCAGAGAATTTTGTTTTATACATGCATAACTACTTTTATATTTTTATAAAGATGTTGTTTGTCCTTAAGTGCCATCGGGTTAAGCACGACTCACAGGGACCCCATGAACAAAAGACCTGAATCCTATTTTATAACTATTATCATTTTTTTAAGTTCATAGAGTTTCCAGAGACATGCTGTTTAAGAAATGGATACCACTCCTGCTTCAAAATCTGTCTTAATCTGGGATCTTGACCAAACACTGTCCACTGTCGGTGACCATTATGGCATTGGACACCCTAGTGGCACGACATTCAGTATCACAGCAACCCCAAGTTACCTCAGTAGAGAAAATGGACAGACCAGACCATGTAATATTTGCCCTATTGTCAATTATTTGCTTCCCTTTGTTCAGTGTCTTCTAGATTTGTCTATGTTTCCAGGACCTATTATTATTCTTTATAGCTGTATAGTATTCCGTTGTATGTCTGTACCATAATGTATCTATTCATTGATGGATGTGTGCTTAGGTTGTCTCCATTTTTTAGTGATTGTGAATAATCTGCAATGGTTGCATGAGTGTGTTTGTGGCATTTCTGTTAGAGCTCTGGGGCTGTGTACCTAGCAGTGGGGTTGATGGCTCTCATAAGGCATTTACATTTCTAGATTTTTGAGGAAGTGTCATACCATTTTCCATTGTAGTTGTACTGATTGTGGCTTGTTAAGTGAAATGCTTTGCAGCCATATTTCTTGTAGGAAGTCTTTAAAACCCTGGTGTGTTTTACATCCACAGCACATCTCAGTGTGCACCAGCACATTTCAAGTGTACCCAAGCCACACATTGCTTGGTGACTGTTGTATTTACTGTATAGCACAGATAAGCTCATCTGGTGATTTGACAGCTGCCTACCTGCTGGATATTTTTTGTTTTCCTCTAAGTAGGACAAGGTACGTAGTTCATATCCACCAGCTGCTCTGTGGGGAAAAGATGAGCAGTCTACTCTCATGCCGTTAACTGCCTCTGAAAAGCCACTGGATGGTCAGCTATGGGTTGGCTCCAAATTGACGGTACAAAACAGAAACAAGTAGGATGGTGACCTTTTAGGGTTCTGGGAAGTTGGTGGTACGGTGGTACTGGACTCAGTGCCCCTGAAACACCTTATGGAATCATGACGATGTCCTGGGATTGCATGGCTGACACTCTCCATCTTCTGACTTCCAGGCCAGGTGAACCGGCTGCCCTTCTTCACCAACCACTTCTTTGACACCTACCTGCTGATCAGCGAGGACACGCCTGTGGGTGAGTTGACACCAAGGCTGCTGGTTATGGGGTCAGATTGAGTGAACTCCCCTCCCAACAGGAAGCTGGACCTTAGAAGCTGAGACTGTGCTGGAGTATCGCTCTTGAAATCCCTGCCAGGTGTTCATCCAGCCTCTGCTTGAGTGCCTCTAGGCACAGGGTACTCAGTACTTCCTGTGGAAGCCCATCCCTTTAGAGGGGAGTTCTGCATGTCAAGAAGTTGATCAAATTGAGCGCAGATTGTGCTTCCCCATGAAACCCGTGCGGATATTTGAAGATGGCAGTTGTTGCTGTGCTTCTTTTGAGTCCTTTTGTGCTTTTCTGTGATTACTAAGTTGTCTGCCTTGAACGGATTCGGTTTAACCACTAGCAAAAGAACGATCTGTTTAAGAGACGATGACAAGCAGCCTGATCTCCCTACCCCTGTATCGCCCAGCTCTGTCCTCCTCAGCCTCTCCTGTGACCTGTCCCCTCTGCCTACATTGAGGGATGTGTGCTGCGTAGCCCCATGGCCCTACCCAGGAGATTATCAGAAAATGGTGTTTTAATTGAGCAAACCCATCTTGCTGATGGGAGGGAGAAGCACACAAATAATGGCACCCCCAAAAGCCTCCCCCCTCAGCCAGTCCTCAGTCCTCCATCTTCCAGTGCTCACTGAAGTCCTTTCAGGTAGACTCCTGGGTACTTCATGACTCGGTCTGCAGGCACCTCCTCTCTGAGTATAATGGCAGTATCTGTGTGCCATAACCACTGTACGACAGGGCATCAGCATGGTACATCATTTTCTTTTTAAACTTATATTGTTTGCATACAGAATTTGTATGCATTGTGCTTCCTTCATGTACACTGTGTTTCCCACATTCCTTCATCCATATGGTGTTAGCATGGTGCATCTTTGTGGAGCACCGCTTGAACTTGAGAATGGGAGGATGACTTAGAGATGGGTTAGAGTCCTATGATATATAACTAACTGTTGTCATTGCCGTTGAGCTGGGCCTGAATCATGACAGGCCCCTGCACAAGGGGATCGACCTTTCTTGATTCATTGGCATTTTAAGTGCAATGTTTAGCATGCTCTTTGATACAAAACCAAATGTGGATATAGATGCATCTCCTCAGAGGCAGGGGCCCCCTAAGCTCTCTTGCTTTCCTGGGGACAGTGCAAACAGCACAAGGAGAGGTCTCTCCTTTCACTCTTGATAGTGGATGGTTTTGTGCAGATGAGTCCTTGTATGTTCTGCAGCCCGTGAGGCTTGTCCATGTGACACAGTAGAGCTTTATTTCTAGGGACTGTATTGAGGGTGTAGCTCGGTGGAAAGTGGCAGTCCTTTGATGCACATGGTTAAGACTGGATTTCATGACCAGGAGCTAGGATAGCTGGGTGTGTGAGAAGCAATCCAGGAAGAAGGCACCTTCTTCTGAAATGTCTTTCCAAGTGTAGGAATGTGTGAAACACAGAAACACAATGTACATGAATGATACATGATGTATACGAATCTTCTCTGCAAATCAATATAAAAATAAAAATGAAGGGGAGAGACTTAGCGTACACTTCTCGGGGAGGAAAGGGTCCTTACAAGCCCTTAAGAAGCCTACAGTGCTGTCTCCTCAGTCAGCACTGGACTGAGAGATGTTTGGGGGCTCCTGAATTTACAGCTGGGCTGGACTCTTTCAATGGGGTTCATCTCTGCGCTGTCTTCCTTCCGCCCCGTCTCTGAACATGGCACGGGGCTGGCATGGACCCTGCACAGGGTCAACGCCCAGCACCTGGATGCAGGTAATTGAAAGAGCTGTGATTAGCACTTGTCACCATCAGGGTCTGCTTCTGGCGCCCTCATCACTACATCAGATGCCTGTGATGTGCCCCCTGCCAGGCCTGGGTATGGGCCCCACTGAGTAGTTAGATAAACAAGTCATTGTCCTACTAGTAGGGACTGAGCTAGGTTTCTGCAGAAGTTCTAATGGGGACTGAAGGCAGAAGGTCCTCTCTTGGTGGAGATGGGGCTGAGTTGGGGCAGCCGGAAAGGCTGTGGGGTGGTGACACCAGAGCCAAGTCCCAGCAGTCCTTTCTGTGGCTTCACACACCATTCTATGCTCATTTGTCTTAGTATCTTAGTGCTCCTGTACCAAAAATACTACAGTTGGGTGGTTTATTTTTCTCACTTTTTAGGAGACTGTTGTTATGTACTGTCGAGTTGGAACCGACCCATGGCTGACTGTCCAGTGTGTTTTCAGAGGCAGTAAATTGCATGTGAGGAGATTGCCCGTCTTTTTTCCATGGAGCAGCTGGATTCGAACCATGTGCCTTCATGTTGGCAGTGCACTTCCTTACCCCTAGGCCACTAGAGTTTGGTTTCTGGACACTGGCTCGGAGGAACACTGTCCGTTGGTTCTAGGGAGGAACTGCTCCTCGGTTGGCTTCTGTAGCTCCGACATTCGGTGGATCCTCACACAGCATGTGTCTTTCCTTTTCAGTGCGTCCTTGGCTCCAGTCTGCTCTTCTTATAAGTTAGAAATGGTTGGAAATAGGACACATCCTACATTGATATAATCCAACTAACACGACAGCAACAACAACAATAAAATCTTATTCTCAGATGGGATCACTTCAAATAGAGGGGTCAGAATTACAACACGTAGTTTTTTAGAGAGATACAACTCAATCCTTAATACCACTTTAACTCTGTTCTCCCATTGAAGTCTTTGGGGTATGTATTTGAGGAGCCGTGGCTGTAATGAGGTAATTGTGTAACCAGTTGCTGATGGACCTGGGCTGCTGACTGAGGAGACGAAAGCCCCTTGTGGGTCGGCAGCCCTGGCACTGTCAAGACCCTTCCTTGCTCCCTTCACCCGGGACAGAGGTTGCCAGGGGCTGTTGTGCAGAGGGTGACAGAGAGAGAAGGTGTGGTGGGTTGGATTGGGTGTTGCTTGGCCAGTGATGTGGTGACAGGCACTGACCCTTACATGCCTCCATCAGACACCATTCCACACCTTTGGTGCCCACCTTGATCATCTTTTACAAACACGAGGCGTTATTGATTAGCCTCTGGGAGCAGCTCCCAGAATTCCAGCTCGTTAAGGCTGCACTTGGCAGTCACAGCGGGAGTGTCTCTCTGGTGTGATGGGAATCGATCCTTGGCTCCAGGGGGCTGTAGGAGTGAAAGAGAGTTTAGTGAGCAGAAAGACAGCTCTGTTCATCCCTTGCAGTGTGTGTATGGGGGTGCGTGGACCTGGCTGGCCCAGCCTCTTTCTTCCTTTCGTATCTGGATGAGACAGCAAAGACAGGCCTGAAAATCAAGAGCTCCATTTCTCTTCTTTGTTGCGTGACCTTGGGCACAGCGCTTCCCACTCTGGGCCTCCACCTCCACATTTCACCAATGAGAGGAGGTTGGAAAGTGAGCCCAGAGGGTTTTGATTGGGAAAGTCTAGCCCTTGGATGACACAGGCCTGGTGACCTCTGCCTAGTGCAGTTCCCCATGTGTGGTCCTGTCCCATGCATGGGAAAGCTCGGGGTCAGCCCTGACCAGCAGGCTTGGGTGTGGGATGTCCCGAGGCCTGGAATGCTGTCTGCCCTGAGGTGCAGGATGTCCTGGATATTTCACTTGAGGCTTTCCTATCACTAATCCTTTGCTCTCTGGATTTCAGCAGAATAGGCATGGTATATTCACCTCATAAGCTGAGTGTTCTGTCATTTATAGCCTTGGAAACCAAATGTCAATTTGCTGTGAGTTGGGATTAACTCTATGCAATGAGTTTGAGTTTTGAGGGCTTGGGGTGGCACAGGGCAGACATGCTCACAGGTGAGGTGGGCCCATTGCCTGGCCAGGGGCAGAGCCCAAGCCCGTGTGAGAGCGGTCAGCTCACCAGAGGAGGTCATGGGAGTGGCCTCCAGGGCCTTTGCTGCGATACTTCTGGTGGTGGAAAGCTCATGCATTGCAAGACAGCTCACTGCAGAAGTGACACAAAGGGACAGTTTCTGGCATAAAACCTTTCTGTAACATTAATATGAAACCTGCCTCACTGGAGCGCCTTCCTACCTACTGGGTCTAATTCTGACTGCGAGAGCCTGCATACCAATACTAATGCTGCTATTAATAATAACAGCATTATTCTATTTATATGATGTATCATATGCATTATTATTTTTACAATATTTATGGGGTACCCGAGGGCATGTACTAAGTGTTTTTGTGTATTAATTTACTTTAAGAATTTTGTATGTAAAGTAGAGGAATTTGGCTACAGGTTCTCTCCGAGTGTTGTTTCTATGACGACACTCTCCTGAGACCTTCATGCCCCCTAGGTCTTCTGAGCTTCTTCACTGTTTGAGCCTTTGCCTCCATCCCTGGCCGTGGGCCGGTGGCCGGTCTGGAGTGGATGGGCACAGCAGAGCCATCTGAAATCACCTGCAGAGGCTTTATGTTCTGTGGCTATCTCCTTAGCCATCACGGGCTAATTCTCCCTGCACAATGTTCTCTTTGAAGACCAATCTCCCAGCTGGAGAAGACAGAAGCAAAATGAAGTCATTAAGTAGCTGTGCGTTCCCTGGACGGTTGTGTTAACATCGCCGACTTCCTTAGGCCATTACCCCACCCCACCCTTCTGCGTCTTGTTCCAGTTGGGAACATCAGCCTTTGGCAGCTGAACCTGGCCTGGGTGGAGCAGAACAAGAACAGAACAGTGGTTCAGTCCCTGCTCGGATGGTTAACGTCGCCGGCCCTTGGTCCTGGCTATTAGCAGTGAGTGGACACAGGTGCCATTAGGATGAGGGACATTCCTGCAGCGTGCCGCCCTCCGCTCATCTCCTGAATCCACTCCAGACACTCATGTCCTGATGACCGTGACCTCCGTGCTAAAAGAACAAACAAATCTATCTTGGAGGAAGTGCAATCAAGGTGCTCCTTAAAGGCAAGGCTGGGGAAGCTTCACCTTGCTGCTTTTGCCATGTTGTCAGGAAGCACCAGGATTTGGAAAAAAGACATCCACTGTGCTTGGATGCT